TTAAAAGTGAACTTCCTCTTTAATACATTTTAATAGCTAACATGATGTTTTCTACTTTAGTTAGTAATATTCATGTCATTATTATACATTCATGTAACATGCAATGATGTGCTCTTCAAATCACTCTGCACGGTAGTTTACATCTTGGCATTGTAATATGAGGTTCTGGTTTACTTTTTAGGGGGGCATTGGTTTTGGAGACCATCTTATGTCAGAATATGGTAGTCACATAAATGTCCATTACTCCCTTGGCCCTCAGATATTGTGCATCTGCTCAGTAACATATCGCTAAGGTTTTTTTAAATTCCTTTTTCTTTCTTCCTAACAGTGAATATTTTGTACTTCCCTTTATTATTCCATTATCTCTCTTTTTAAATTATCACTTCTCTATTGCCTATTTGCCTAACTTGCACTTACCACACTAAATTTTATGTCTTGCGATAAATAAAGTTTAAAGATGTTAAAACTTGAGTGTAATTTAATTTCAGCTAAATATAAAAGTTCAGTGATTTACGTAGCACTGGAAAAACCTATCTTTAGAAAGGCCCATTAATTGTCACTTTCATCATATAACAAGGAAAGGACTTATTCTTTCATTTGCTTAGTTATTCATTGTGTTTTCACTTCAGTACTTTTGAGAGCACTTTCAATTGTTCCACTATCTAGATTAAAAAAAAAAAAAAGTACATAGTGATACTCAAAGGAAACAGATACTCCTGTTCTTCAAATTCATCCTTGTTTACTTAGCAGCATTTTTTTCCTACTTCTTTCATTTTCATTGACAGTTTCCTTTCTTACAGTCTATTTTTGTGAAATATCTTGTGGATTTATCACTAAGAGACAAGGAAGCAATGCAACTACACACCTTGAAGCACATGCCTGAACTGAATTGCAGATGCCAGAGGCCAGTATTTGACAGATTACAGAAGTAATGTATAGGCCACTGGTCTTCACACACTTCTATTATTTGCATGGTGATTTGTAAACTGAAGACCTAGTAGAAAAGTTTGTACTTTATATAAGTACTTATGGTTGATACACTGTGCTGAGTGCAAGTCGAACACTGTGTTTTGGGTGACTGGTATTAAACTATATAAATGTAATTTGTTATTATTAGAACAATATAAGATGAGGACTGATACATTAGCTTGTCGGAATGGTCATGATGCATTTTTGAATAGAAAAATATACATCAATGACTTTTCCGACAACCGTGTGTGTGTGTGTGTGTGTGTGTGTTCAATGTTCATTAGTTATCAGGAATATATAAATAAAAGCTACAGTATTATACCACGACTATACATTTAAAGGAATAGTTGTGTTGGCAAAATGCTAAGATGACACATGACTCTTGCCCTTGTGTAATTCCCTTCACTGGTATGGTAGGATATCACTATGGTGATTATCATACATTAGGTGGCAAAAGGAATTTTGCAAATGTAATTAAGACTGCAATCAGTTGATTTTGAGTTAATCAAAAAAGGAAGTAATCCAGATGGGCCTCACCTAATCATATGAGTCCTTTAAAAGCAGGTTTTCTTTTCCCCCCCTTCAGCTGGTAGCAGAGAAGAAAATCAGACTGGTTTATAGCATGAAATGTCTTCATTGTGAAGGATGTTCTCTATTGATGAGATGCATCAGCCATGGACCATTCACCTTGAGCAGCCCTGGGCGCTCAGAGTAGTCCCTAGCCCACAGTCAGCCACCTAAAGGAGGTTTGAGTCTAACATAGGAACTAAATTTTGCACCTGAATGACCTTGGAAGTTGATTCTTCCCACAAAGATAAGCACCCGATCTGGCTGACACTTGACTCTGGCCTTGTAAGAAAGTAACTAGAGAATCCCAATTGAGCCCATTGACTTTCTATTTTTTTTTATTTTATTTTTTTGAGAGGTTTTTGCTATAAGGCACGTGTGCTCACTAGAAAGACAGAGAGAGACAGGAAGACAGAAAGCGAGAAATCACTCCCCAGGGGTGATGGCCATGCTGCAATCCCTTCTCCTCCACTCTCTTCTCGGGATCTTGGGGGCACAAGCACACACGCCCAGCATGAGTTTAAGCCACTGGGCCCAGGACTCAAACCATGGTCGACTACATGGGAATCTAACAACATAGCCATTATGCCAACTGCTGGTTCAGGCCCATTGACTTTTGACCAGCAGAGCTGTGAGATAATAAGTGGGTAGTGTTTTAAGCTGCTAATGTTGTATTACTTTGCAGTGATAGAAAACTAACATGATGTTTTATATATATATACTTAAAGGTTTATGCCATAGGGCTCAGGCGCTAGCTGGAGAGAAACAGAGAGACACTGACAGGGAAAGTGAGAAATCACCCACCCCTCTAGGGCAGATGGCCACCCTGCAGTCCCTTCTCATCCACTCTTCTAGGATTTGGGGGCATGTACGCACATGATTTTCAAGCTGCTGGGTCCTGGACTTGGACTACTGTTGGTCATTTGGGAGTCCAGTGCCATAACCACTAAACCACTTGTTGGCCCCACAATATTAAATTTTTAATAAGAAACTGCCAATGTCAAATGTTGGTGTGGATATGAAAGAACTTAATTTGAGGGGATGAAAATTAGAATAGTCAGTTCAGACAACTCTTTGACAGTATCCACTAATGTGGAACATGAAACATGTGAGTATAGTCTAGGAACACCTACAGTTTCTCAGTATTTTTCCAATAGAAATCTATGTACCTTTTTTTAGATGATTTTATTTAACTTTACTTATTATTATTATTTTCCAGTTTGATGAGAGCGAGAGAGCGAGAGAGAGAGAGCGAGAGAGAGAGAGAGAGAAAGCAAGCAAGCCACCACGTTCACGACTTGAACTACGGTTGGCCATGTGGGAGTCCAGTGCCTTCAACTACCATGCTACCTGCCGACCCCATTGTGTACCTATTCAACAAGTACAAGAATGTTTATAGACATTTGAAACAGTCCCAAACTGGAAATAATCGTGTTCATTACCAATAAAAATATACAAATAAAATTTGGCATATCTGTCCAATGGAAAACCACATAGCTGTAAGAATTTGCCAACTATTGCTATACATGGATGAATCTTACAAACATATGTTGAATGAAGTAAGTCACACATAGGAGATTTCACTAGAATATGGTTCCTTTTCAAAAAGGACAGAAATAGGCAAAACTCATCCATGGTAATACAACCGATACTAATGGTTAAGTCTGGGGGCTCCAGCAGTGTTTGGAAAGCATACTGTAAGGTGGGATCAGGGTGATGAAAATGCACTGTCTATAGATCTTGATGCTAATTAAACAGGTGTGTTCATTCATATTGCAAAGATTCACTTAACTGTATACGTATGCCTTGGGCATTTTTAAATTATTTAATAAAAAGCTTTTTAAAAGACACTTGTGGGACAAAGATAAAGTTTATTATCTGTTGACGAGGATGTGTATGGTGGTCTCAGCTGGGCTGGACTGAGGTGTATATCATGCCGGATAAAGTCTCTTCACAATCTAAATGATGTATAGCAATTTAATATATGAATAATTATATA